CATCTTCAAGATTATATAGAGAAATAGAAAAATGATTTAAAGATTCATTAATAACATAATATGATAATAAATGACAATTATTCATTCCTCTTCTCATATTGTTATTATTTCATACTTCGGCACAATACACACAGTACGTACATATGCCAATAAGACACTGATCAATTGCAGACCTAAACATCAGTGGGAAGATTCAAGTAAACAGTACGAGATGAATTTAAACTTCACCCCATTGCATAAGCGAGTGACTATCAGAACTCAGTAGCTAACTGGATAACGCGATGTCGTTTGGAGTGAACGGTACTGCATTCGAGTTCCAGAGTGGCCATCAACTTTGAGATGTGGGTATTTCCAGCTGACGATTCTCAAATAGGAAGAAACACGCGTCCGGGATTCCAATGCTAGCAAATATACATCTTTGCTTATTTTATCTGTTGTTGAAAACGTAAAATAAGTATTCGTTTGACGGGAACTTATTCATCTATTAAATTTCAATAGCTTATCGCATGTAATATCCTACATTTTTGGGTTATTTTGTGCTTGTTGATTTTCTACCTTGCCTTATGTGCAAAATTGTGATACTACATAGGTACGTTGTTACAAAAGTGTTTAAACCAACAAGATACCGTTTAATGCATGCTGAAGAGATCGATATCATTTTTCCCATACATCTAATTCATTTTACTTGTTGACACTAGCCAAAACGTATATATTTTTACTAAAAACATATGTATTATATATTGATATAAGATCTGCGTAAACCATTGTTTCTATTGATAGATCGGTTAATTAGGTAGATCTCCGTCGACTGATATGGTTGGAACATATGCTCCTTATTCCTAACTATCCCCAATCTAGACAGGCGATTTTTGCTAATATCCGATTAAGTAAGAAGAAAGACATGGCATCAGTTCATGAATTCATTGACTGTTGGTACGAACCATGTTGGTAGTTGCAAACTATGTTTTTAAGATACACAAAATATCCATGATCGATGGTTAGAAAATTTGGGTGATAAGACGTGGAATTGTTCATGGTGGTGCTTATGAATTTACCCTTCATCTTTATCGATCTTGAATTCCAATTTTCTTTCATATATTTCTTTTAACTATTTTTTCTTACCCTATTCTTGATCCTGAGTCAGTTTTGTAATCATTACTGCTATTAAAATATACTGATATCTCCCCTCGTTAATCTCATCACATGCCAGTGTAGTACAGTAACTTGAACCAACGTACCTCTATGACAGACTCCGCATTGATAATAAATGACAAAATGGGATGTGTTAATATATCACTTGAGACAAAGTTTGATCTCGATTTACATCAAGATAATGTTCTCTTCTTATTACTAAGAAAGAAATGCACTAAATGCCACATATTTTAATGTGTATTATTTTAACATGTCTGACTCATAATCAAATGGGGCGCAATTAGGATGAACTGATACCAAAAAAATGTAGAACTGTAATTGAGTTATTTTTTGTATGAGCATCAAAATATACTTTCATGAACAATTTCATTCGACTATGGTCAATGTTTTAGTTATAAAGAAAATCACTCTCATATAGTTTATTTTTATCGACAGAGGTTGTCTAAACAGTAGTCAATTTCTTCCATTATTTTAGATAAATTTTTACTTGTATAAATAAATCTATACAGAATGTAAAATATTTAATGAATTTTGATGAAATTTTGTTCTCTGCGCTGGATAGTTTGGTTGTGAAGCTTTCGTCATTCTTCTGAACGACCGCATCAGTTGATGATATCGTCATCAATCTGAGATAACAAATCTTCTCCACCATCTCATTATTGAATTTTCCCAACTTGACTTATATTTTATATATAAGTATGATTCATTGTTGTTTTTCTGTTCTTTTCATAAAATATATTAAAAACATCAACTATATTTCAAGTATTAGTCGGTTTCTGTAGGGATTTAAGGAATAGCTGCTATTATTTCTAGTAAATGTTCTTGCTGATATAATATAATTACTTTTAAGTTGATTTACTGAATATAATAAACTAATATTATTTATTTGATCAAACTGTCAAAATGTATGTACCATTATAATTCTCAAAAAAACTCTATGACTAGTTTACTCGTAATATTCTTGTTCTCAATCTTTTTTTCTTTGAATAACCGGGATGAAAACGTTTTTAAACATGGCATTCAAATTGAAAACATTTTGATTGAGATCATGAGCCGATTGATGCTAAACCACCTTTGGAAACCTGGAAGTACTGGACGGCCGTTTCGCCCTATTGTGGGACTCCACAGCAGTGCGCATCCACGATCCCGCTCGCGGGACTCGAACCAAGAGCCTTCGGTCTCGAGCGTGAACGCCTAACCTACTGGACCACTGAGCCGGCATCCAATGGTGATAGTGTCTAACATCAACCAATCCATGAAATTGCGCGACCGTCTCCCATTGTACTGAGGTAGATACCTGTCTCTACCCGACATGGATTAGCTCCACTGGTCACGGCTTCTCACTGGAACTTCGAAAATTCCCTCACGAAGCTATTCACTAGTGAGAACATGTTAATTTTAGACGTACCTTTAGAAATTTAACCTTATTTTGGTTTGCAACTGATGATTATCATGCAGTTATGGGTGTATTTTGATAATTAATTATTTGGGACAAATAATTTGTAGCTATTTCAAAGTATACAAATATTTTCGAAAAGCAAATTAACTCCATATTTTCTATATTCCACTGGTAGCATAACGTCAGTTCATTTATATTACGTAACATTAAGAAATCGTATATTTGACTTATATGCTTTCTGAAAATAAAAATAATGTTAACAAACTTCTGACTCTGATGCTAATTAGAATTGATTTAACCTCTATACTACTTGTCATTCATTAATAAGTTACATGTTTGGAGTGTAATAAATGATAGACACGCAAGTAGTTAATAGAAGCAGTCAATAATTTAATAGCTTTGAACTTTAAAACATTATATCATACATCATATTAATTATCAGATACACAGATTCAATGTTTTTGTTAGTACCTCACCATTATGAAACTGAATAATGAAAATTCTCATTCAATATTTACAAAATGTTTCTTTAAAACAAACCAAGATTATTACGATCCTTCTTAAGTCATTGTAGGAAGGATGAAATAACCATTAAATTAGGATACATGATATTGAGTCGCTCAAAATAGCGACCATAATTTAATGTGTTAGTGATATGATGGAAAGGAAAGTCAATTTTCGATTGATTTACTCATTATGAGTTATTGTTCCAGATTACTTCCGTTTTGATTCAACGTAATGATTACTCAATGTAGTATTTGTTCTCTTTTCTCGTATGATATTTTATTCTGTATAATATACGATATTCGTGTATTCCATTGACATGAACTATGCTTAGTATGTGATTTGTTATAACTCCGAGTATTTTTCATATATGTGATTTCATCCTAATTATTAATTAAAATGGGTGTACAGCCAATGTATAAATGAGTGTATTTTCTAATAGAGTCGTCGTCGTCGTGTTTCGGGGTTAATAAATCATCACTTATACCAGTCTTTGTGTTCTTACTCTCGCATCGTGGGAATTGTAGAGGTTCCTCGTTCCGAGTATAAGTGGTAAGCGTTTCCGACATAACAATCAGCGACGACCAGATATAAAAAGTAGCATTCAATTAACAAGTTATAACAGTTAGACAGAACAAAATTACCAAATTAATCAATGCCCTTCATTTATAATAATTTAGTTGAATTAGAAATAAAAAAACGAAATGTTCAAGTTATTTGAAAGTTTTATGTAACTGATAAAATCTCATAACTAATCTACTTTTTCTTATATACGTAAAAATTCTTCCTTATGTTCAATAGAAGAGTTTCTATACAGATTGATTTAAGTGTACTTCATATTTTATAATCACTGTAATACTTCATAGCACAATCCTTATCAAATGGTGTTTCATACAATAAGATATAAACTTTTAAAAAATGTACATAAACTACAAACAACACCTCTGGTGCATGAATAAGTTTCCGAGATATGTATAATGTTATAAGTTCACCTATTCATTAATCGAATGTAATTAGATAACTAACGTCAAATGATAATTGTTAAATATAAAGTACTAAACAATTGAAATTCATATTGCCCATGCAATGAAATACGATATAGGTCTATTAAGTTACAAACAATTACATATCATTAAAACATGATTTGCTTGATCTTAATGGTAAACAAAAACGTTTTATTCCAGTGTATCTTTAAGTATTCACAAAAACATCAATTATGATAAAACAATAAAATAAATTTCATCATGAGTAAGTTTAATTTAACTCAGGGTACATTCATTCATCTTGACTTAGGTGCATTAGACTTTGTTGAGAAGATAAGTATTGTATCCTTAATAACTTGGATGGATGAAATGAAGTTAAAATTCACCTTACCAAAATATGTGATACAATATGCCTGTAATCAATAATTATATTGAAGGAAATCGCATAGATCTACAATGAATACTCATAAATCAGACAGAAATTGATACACATACATATGAGGTGTCTAAATGCTTGATATGAAATAGGCTGAACTTTATGATCCCCCAGGTAGATATTTGTCATGTAAACACAGTTCCCCTTCTGAATTGTAATAAAGAAAACACACAATATTGTATTCAGTTTTTCTTTTAGAATAACATTGGATTACCAAACATAATTGTGGTTTCATTGTAAACAATAAATAGACAATAAGTAAGATACAACCAAATCTCGTGAAGAAAACTGAGTTCTTATTTATTCTAGCTACATATCACATTTACAATTCTTTTCCTCGAGTTTCATATGTATCTTTATTTCATTATTGTTCTACTGTATTTAACAGGAAATGAGAAGATACCTGTACATACGTATCTCACTGCGGAAATGTGAAATATATGAAGAACACGGCTGAGATGTTAAAAAATGCATTTAAAAGAATGAGAAGAAAAAGCAAAAATCAAAGATTTATCAATATTGGGCATTAGGTCTTTTTACATATTTTAAATATCCGTGTACAGAATTGTATGAAAGTTGTACGAAATTGATGTGACATTGAACAATACAGTATAAAATTAATACCATTATTAACAATTGTCAATAGATCCATAAAATCACCCAATGCATTATACACAGTATCTGTGAAACAATCACCCACAAGTCCACTTAAAAATAATAATATTGCCTGTAATGTATAAAAAGTAGTAAAAGAAACAAACATTATAATAATGCTATGCACATAAGTAAAGATATATATATATATATATATATATATATATATATATATATATATATATATATATATATATATATATATATATATATATATATATATATTGCCATAGGACAACTAAACTGATAGAATTTAATCAACATCAAAGGGACTAGATAGTCATGTCTTTGTTGAAACAATTACAAATATAAAAATCTTAAAGGGAACTCCAGAATAGCTTGGTAATGAGGCTGAATGATACAAAAGCGAATCTTTCAGAAAGCACCAGTTCCCTCAACATTGCTAGTACACTTTGATAAAGGATTCCGAATAACAATCAACTGAAGTTGAAGGTTTGTAATCCACAACCACTTCACATATGTGTGAACGATCTTGTATATATCCTGTCAGAGTTTCATCTTTTCATGTAACTGATTTTTCTAGGTTATGTGACGTTATGAAATAAAAATTTTATATTTTAATCCTGAATGTTTCGAAGTAGACGATGATTAACTATCCTTATCATTGCTGTTAAAAAAATAATTAGATAGGGGTTTTGTGGATATTATAGTAATTTATTAATTAAATACATGAGTTGACTAAAGCTAGACCACCATGGAAAACCTGAAGGAACAAGATGGCTGTTTCGTTCTAATATTGCATTTCTGAGCAATGCGCACCCATGATCTCGCTAATGGAATTCGAACCTAAAAAAAGTAATGACAAAGTGATAAGATTTTTATTTAACCTGAAAATTCCAAACTTATTTATCACTAAAAGTAACAAACAAAAAAATGTCTAAAAATATTGAAAAATTAATTATTGAAATACAGTAAGATTTGAGTAGATTTCGATGAACTCTCGAAGTGGCTTTTCTTGTTAGTCTCTAAACTATTACATAACACTACAACTTATAAATAAATCAATTAGATCAATCCAATGAAGTATTCAAGAAATAAGAACTGCTGAAATATATATATATATATATATATATATACTTCAACATACCAGCTGACGTCTTATTAGAAACCAACGAATTGATATTACTGCTAGATGAAATCTAACCAATCAGCGTCAATTTGAAATATGACTTTATGTCTTTTGATTTTAAACAAAAATTATTGGCTCTTCACTATGTCAGTCATCTTTGTATTCTGTTCTTTTCATCGATTAAAACAATTTAAACCTTTCATCTCAAACTTCCGCTCAAAGCTTTTTTTTCTGTAACTAACCATTAGGTAATATTATAGTGTAAATAATTTGTAATTTTAAGAATTATGATATCATTAATGAGAACAAGATATATAAGTGAATGATATTGTTTTCAACTAGATCCTCATTAGGTTTTACTCTCATATACAGCAATAGTTATTTGCATATTCGAAATTATTAAACTAATCAAGGCAGTTTACAAGTCAGTAATAACACTGGAACAAATTACACAACCAACCATAATAGTGTGATTACAGGTTTACTAGTTGTGGAATAAAGGAATAAAGGTTTACAAATTTCTTATGAATACAAAGACTTGAATTGTTGGCTCGAAACTCTATGGCTTCTGTTATGTGCAAAAGGTGAGATCGAACCTCAAAAGTAAAAAAAACTAGTAGGGATACGCTATCCAGTACATAACCTCCATCGATCATATATGATAGAACAGAGCTGTGTATTGTTTTAACGAACCATAAAGAAAGTTGTTCAATAACTCGCTATATAAAATCATATATTGTTCTGTGTTGAACAATAATTGACCATTAATCTTCTTTATTTTTCTATAGATTAATTTAATTATAACATCCAGATAGTATTTCTTATAATGATATGCCTAATTAAATTAAATTAGATATTTTGGTAAATTTTAATGAATGATCAAGAATGATGAAGTAGATGGGTGAAAGTTGCTTAATCCATATAATCTATGATTAAATAAAAAACATTGTGATCCTAGATCGTGTAATAACGTTAGGGGAATTAAAAAATGTAATCAGAACTATGAATTAAAACAATAAGTTTGGGAAATGGTACAGTGAGAATTCTTTTCTAAATAAAACAATCCTTACTTAATTATAACCTCTCTACTTAGAATATTTGTTGATTATTAACCATACTTTATATCCAGGCGTACGCATAGTATGCACATATGTCAATAACAGACTGATCAATCGCAGACCTAAACATCAATGGGAAGATACAAGCGAAACAATACCAAGTGAATTTAAATTCACCCCATTGCATAAGCAAGTAGCTATCAGGACTCAGTAGCTGAGTGGATAACGTGATGGCGTTTGAAGCGAATGGTACTGTGTTCGGGTCCCAGAGTGAACATAAACTCTGAGATGCAAGTACATTCAGCTGACGAGTCCCAAATAGGACTAAACGGGCGTCCTGGATTCCTGTGCTAGCCACTATCCATCATTGCTTACAAAAAGTTTTTGATATTATTTACATTTATTTTGTCCGTTTTCACAGTTTGTACATTTACCATAAAATGATTGTATATGTTGTTTAAGTGCACGACTTTGAACACACTTTCTTCCGTTGTGTAATACTCATAGCATGACACACGTTGCTAACTACTCGTAAGTACACTATTATACACACATCTATCGTTCAGCATTGCCTGTGGTTATGATAACTGAACTCTGAAGTATCTGTTATCTACATTTATAGACTGCAGTTACATTCACATTATATTTTACATCTGTTGATATTACTGGAACCATAACAACCTCACTGGAATTATTAATTATTTATAATTGTGGATCCTGGTACTAAACGCAAGCACAAGCTTGCCGATCTAAGTAACGTCCTTTAATTTTTTGTGTGTTTATTACTTATAACTGATATATTATAACATTAACATTTGGACGTAATAACTTTATTGCTATTTTTGAGTTAATATATTTTTGCTCCACCACAAGTCTATCAATATACATCTTCCTGTGAAGTCATGATAACTATAAAATATATATTCAAACATGTTATGCTCATATCAATATTTTATTCAAATAGGAGTGTGTAGGAAGTTGAATTAGTGAGTAGGATATTTTTTAATTTTAGAAATGTTTTATAGTTAATAACTAATGAACTAAGTAAATGTAAATCTTATATTTATTAGAAAATATAATTCTTTGAATAGAGTAATCACTAGGATAATAGTTTTCACAATTGATTGATCACTGGGTGGTGATCTATGTCATGTGTGTCAAGTCCTTATTTAGTGCAGATTGAATGCTATCGATCATGTTGCAATGTGGCCACCAGTCTAGGTGACTCGACACCGCAGGTACTATATATTGAGATTAGATGGTGGTCGGAGGTAGTCGACAGGAAACCCAGGACCCGGGTTTCATGCTACTTGACACTCGGGATCGAATCCGCCAGGGAGCACCAGTTCCCTCAGGATTACAGGTACACTTTGCTGACGAGTGCCAAGTAGCACGAAACCCGGGTCCAGGGTTTCCTGTTGACTACCTCCAACCACCATCCAATCTCAGGATAAGAGTTTATTTAGATTATTCTCTGTTGATTTATCGAAACAATTTGTTCAACTTAATAATGAAATAAAGAATTTGAATAATTTTATTGATAACACTGTCATGAGTATCAAAGTGTATAAGTGGATTCTGAAAATGATAATTAAGTCACACTAGACATTCATACAATTTATATTATGGGTACTATTATTATTATTAGTAGCAGTAGTAGTAGTATCATCGGACTATGGAAGTAGGTAAATCGAATGAATGATTAACATATTTGTTTTTTTTTGGTAATTAAATATTTTATTACAGTAATTTATTGCGAAAACAAACTCAATAGCTTTTTGTATGTAAAGTAATTGATATCTACATTTTGTTATTTCTTCGGATTGAATTATTGTCATTTATATAAAACAAAGCAATACAATTTCTTTACGAAATAATCTAGATTGCTTAAAGTTAAACATTAACACAATTGGATGTAGACTCAGTGGCCTAGAGGTTAAGCGTTCTCGAGTGAGATTGTGGATGTACACTGCTGAGGAATACAATATTAAGACATAATGGCCGTCTAGTGTTTCTAGGTTTTCCATGGTGGTTTAATTTTAATTGACTCATAAACTCAGTTAGTGAATTATAGTTGTCAATAATATAAGTTTTACATGCTTGATTTTATTTTATTGAAGTGGAGTTAAATCAATCTTCTTTTCTTTTGAAAAAGAAAGAAAGAAAAGATTTCCTATTTGAAATTATCAAGGTAGAACTAATGATCAGTATCACGCGATATTCTGTACTAATCTTTTCAATTATTATAGAATTTAGTTTAAGGATTTATATATTTTGATTCAATTGGATTAGACTGGATTTTGTACCCATACCTAATCCCTCTTTTTTTAGTGTTTGATCTATGAATGGATACACTAGCTTATTGAATAATGTACAGTAATATGGATGATTAAATAACATATTACTCTTTTACAAACTCTTATGTAATTGAAACTTCATTTTGTTTTTCTACTAAAAGTACATGGATTAAGGTATACAAAAGTGATAATTACTTCAACTCTAAACGTATAATTTTATAGCAAATCATTCACAAAAAATAACTTCTAGTCTGTTCGTAATTTATTTGGTAATATTTTATGGATAAACATTTCACTTCTATGTACTGTATAAAAGACTATAGTGATTAAACTAGTTCTGTGTGAACCATTGTTGACAATTTCATAGGATGATTGCTCAATATGCATATATGTCAGAATGTTTGCTTATGAAGTTCACTGATCGAATTCAAATCACTATTGAGACAAAAAGGAATCTTTCATACGTTGTGCAAAATACTGTATTCTTGGTTCATTATTGTGCTGTATCACAGGTCAGTAATACTGATGAGTTTTAAAATAGAAACGAATGATTATCCGCTGTCCTCTAGAGCTCACTTATCTTGCATCTGAATCCGATTTGTGACTAAAACCGAGTAATAATTACATTTATCTTTATGGTTTGGCTCAGTTTAAAACAATCGTATTGTTGAATTAATTTACTTTTTTCCAGACACTATTTTTATTCAATATTATCTCGTTATTCTAATATTTTGATGGAGTTTTGTTCTCTGAGCTGGATGGTTTGGTCGTGCGAGATCTTCCTTGTGTTTTTGGAAGCAAACCAAATCTAAATTACTTAGATTTAACTAGGACAGAACAAGTTTTGAGGGAAGACGAAATATAAAATTTAGAACATAAAAATTCCATTACAATTATTTTTGCAAATTTATTGATTTCATTAAAGGTTATGGGTAAAGTATTACTAGTTTTGATCACAAGCTTATCAAATATATAAGTTGTGATGACTGACTGATAAGCATAGGAAACTGTGCCAACTCTTGCTAGTGTTAACAAGTAGGGTTTAAATCAAACTTTGTCATTAAAACTATAGCATGTACCCTAAATCACAAAATTTATGTAAACAAATATTTGTGAAGTGATGATTAGAAATTTAAAATACATAGATTCTGGGGTTAGCTGGTGTTTTTTTTAAAGCAGATATCTAAATATGTTTAGTGTGATAGATCTGATTTAGAATAAACTTGTGAATAGATCCTCACCAATGAAATCGAACTAACGTTTTATATACTTCCTAACTAACTAAAAGTATTTGACTCCTGTGGGCGAAATGTCCGCTAATATACTACACCCTCAATCCTTCAAATACAATGGTATACAAACAAGTGAATATATAAAGGTCAAACAAGTCATGTGGGAACACTAAAATGAGCTTAATTTTATATCCAGTCAAATTTGTTCCCTAAAAAGAAATGCCATTTTGATATAATTACGCCTATCACCAAGGACGATGCACGGTTATGTAAGAAAGCATTTTAATAGATGAATTTATGAGTCAATTTATGCTAGACCATCATGGAAAAGCTGGAAGAACTGGACGCCTTTTGTTCCTATTACGGAACTCCTCAGCAGTGCCATCCACAATCTGGAGGTTAAGCGTTTATTCGCGAGACTGAAGTTCCTGGTCTCGATTCCTGTGTATTAGGTCTTCGATGCCTACTGCTGAGAAGTCCCATACTAGAACTAAACGGCCATTCAGTGCTTCCACGTTTTCAATGACGGCCCTAGCTTTAATCGACTGATAAATTCAACTATTAAACTACTAGAATCTTCGCAAAAACCCCACAATCTAATAAGGAAGCATTTGTTTACATCATCATTAATGGAATCAATAAATTTTTTATAATATACAACTTACCTGAGGAAGTAATGTAATCATAAATATGAAAACAATAGCTAATAAAAATTTTGTCATTCTATTTTCTGCTTTTTCACGTTCATTTTCAAATGTATTACGTTTTTTTAATAGAGTAACATTTTTATACATTGAATTAGTTGTATATGATAAAGTATTAGATCCATGAATGGGTTGAAATTTAATCTTCTCTTTTATATCATGATTATTTAATTGATTTTGATTTTGATCTAATTCATTATTATTAATGATGATTGAATTTGAACTAGTTGGATTATGTGAACTGGATGTTTCAATAACACGATCAACACATATGATTGATTTGGTTTTCATTTTTCTCATCCGTGAATTTTGTCTACGTATTGTATATATAATCATAAAACTAAGTACACATAAACATAATAATGGTAGAAGTTTCAAAAAAATTGCTGTATTCCAATAAAGATAATTTAACATAACTTCATTATCTACATAAGTAACCATGTAACTATTCAATGTTTGTTCATTATTATTTTGTACAATATGATGATTCATAATACATGGAATAGATAATATACTACTAATTATAAATACTATTGTAATAGCAAATTTAGCTCTTTGCATACTGCATAAAATTTGACATTTGACTATAAATTTTACATAGAGAACTCGAAATACAGCTATAACAACAACAATATAACTTGAAGTTAAATGAAGAAAATTCTGTAGACTAATATGAAATAGAAGATAAACAGCCCAATTATAAGTTGAATTACGTGTATGACGACCAATTAAAAAATAACTTGTAAATGGTATATAGAAAATCATCAATAAACCATCACTGATTGCTAATGATGTTAATAGAAAATTTGTCGGTGATATCATATCACGTTGATTAAGTACAATTACAATACAAATATTAGATAATACACATATAGGACATAGAAATAATGTAATATATCCATGCATATCACCGTAAACACGTCCAAATAATTCTAATGATTCAATAGGTTTACATTTTGCATTGATTATTGGCATAATATTGGTAGTTGTTACTAATGATGTTGTTGTCATAGATTGATTCACTTCATTTATTGGTGATGTGGATAGATTGTTTGTAGTTATTGTTGATGCTATGGTTGTTATCATTGTTGTTAATTGATTTATATTATTGAGCATCATTCAACCTGTTCAATATATAGCCTAGATTATATAATCCATGAAAGTAAAACAACCTAGACATAGTGCAAAGAGAGAAGAAAAAGAGAATTTGGCACTAACACGTTATCACTAAAATTTACACATTGAACACTAATTTACATTGCTTAATTAGGGGAACTGTTTAACAAAATATTTAGCACCAATTATATCGAAACCATCGAATATAAAAATTATCTTTTAAATAATTTTGGCGCCTGAATTTTCAAATAGTTTCAACAGTTCATCTGACAGTCTGATCAGAGTTACTTATGTCAAGACAAAATTATCATAGATAATTAAGGTTTAATATAAGTCTGTTCAAATTCTTGCCCAATTCTGTTCAGATATCGACTTAGTGTGCAATGAGAATATTAGTCATTTGATGTCGAAAGTTCTCAGAATGCGGTAAGCGTATAAGCATGGGTATATGTTTTCTGTTGTTTTGGTTACGATAGAGAAAAAGTACATTTCTTTGTTTATGATAAAACCTAAAGCACTTAGTAAACCAAACTAACAATTGTACTATAGACATTAGAAACAAAACGAATGGTTAACTTTGAAGGAACTAAATGTCTTAAAGAAGGAGTAAGTGCTGAAATTCTGTATATGCTGGAAAATCAGAACAATCTGAATAAAAGAGATGGACTATGGTTAGCTACACCATAGCAACTGTTGGTTAACAAATAAAAACACAATCCCGAACATCATTTCAACAGCAATAAATATAGTCAATTGTATTATTTGAATTCATCTCTGACTACTTTAAATGTGATAACATAAATCAATATTCATTCGTTCTTAATCCACAGATCCCTAGGCAGGTTTGATTTGTTCATAAAGTAAAAAAATGTTTACCTTTCCCTGGCTAAAGCATCATATTTCATTGACCATTTGATAAAAATTAGTATACAAATACAATACGTAAACAAATGTTTACTATACCCTGAATTCGCATTTGAACAGTACTAGATAACTCGTTTTTTATCACTCGTATTTCATGTAATCCATATAACCTGTGGATTGTACTATAGAAGTTTGTTCAAAATGACACAACTAGACTAATTAATGAGATTTTCTAATTAAAATCTGTGCTAAAAGGTTTCCAACGATGGCCTAACATCAATCGGTACATGATCTCAATCAAAAGAATTAAAATTTAATCAAACAGAATTACTAAAATGTTTTTTGTTAAGAAAATGCAATATTATAAAATTCGTTAACCCCTTGTATGCTACCAGTAACAAAAAGAAAATTCATATAAGCGTATAGGAGAAAAAACATGCGTGTTTATATGAGATATTTAAATGATGCCAAATATTATGATACAAATGTAAATTGCGCCAAAATGATTTGCAATGTTAAATTAAAAGTTCAAACAGTAGTCTGTAGTAATAGTTATAATATTTATAAACAGAGATGGATGGTGGTCATCAGTGGCATCCAGGACTCGCGTTTTGTACTATTTTGAACACGTTAGCTAGTTGTACCTTAGCAAGTGCTTGAAGCTGATGGTACTAGGTTCGAGTCACGGAGTAAACGTCAGCTATGGGGTGCAGGTACATCTAACTGACGAGTCCCAAGTAGGACGAAGCGCACATCTTGAACTCCACTGCTAGCCACTATCTATCTCTGTTTATATTGCTTGTTATTCAAGGCCATACCGAGGAGATTTGGACGGGATGCACATATACCAATAAGAGACTGATCAGTTTTAGTCCGCAACATCAATGGGACGATTCAAACAACTAATGCAAAAAGGAATTATAATATTTGTTTGATATATTTGTTTACATCAGATAGGAAATGATCAAAAAATTAGTGAATTTGTAATTTTTGAAAAAAAAATTGAAAAATGACTATTATTATTCAATATGATCATTGAAATGCATAAGTAGGATAGGTAAGACTATAGTCAATGGACAACCTTCGTGAGACGCTAGAGTGACCTTGAGGGTGTCCACCTAACAGCTAAGACCAAATGAACTTTATCAAACTGTGTAAGGGATCAGAACTATGATTCACATTTGATGGTTAAGGTTAGAAATTAGATTTACGGTTTTTCATCACGAAATGACATCAGCTAAAATGCCAAGGTGCTATTTGGTCAAATGGGTGAGTGAATTTCGTGCAAAAATCCAAGACCTGTTATCCTAAATCTGATTGATTCGTCCATAAATTATAGTTTCGCCGTATAATATTCAGTTTTTATGATAACTTCCGAGTGACATATTATTTTTTTTCGTAGAAATAATTATAGTAACTAACAAGAAAATTTGTTTGACTCTTTTTCAAGATTAGTAGAATGATGGTGAAATAACATTAACATCGCATTATTATACATCTAAGTGAACGTAACCTGATTTTCATGTATTAATAAGTTGTACCATTTATTCGTATTACTCATATATACAACCTGGGAAACAAAACGACACGATAACTAATTCATAATAAAATTTGCTGACTTATTTCTAATTTAATAGTTGAATTCATAAGTCGATTAAAGTTAGACCACCATGGAAAACCTGGAAGCACTTGACGGCCGTTCCGTCCTAGTGTAGTGAACGAGAACACAAATGGGGACAATTGATTGTATTTGCACACAAAATTACAGAACACAGTGAATATTTCATTTGCAAAATGTCAATCAATTGTCTCAAACATGACTTTTCCTTTTGCAGATATCAATCAGTAGTCTCAGACTTTACTGTTCCTTCATTTCCACATCAATCATTCTCTGTTCTCGTTCTCTTTTCTTCGCTTTTCTTAAATTCTACTGCCTGATATTTCACTTTCAGCTGATGATACATACTAATCATATCTATCTACATCAATAGCACAAACCACACTAGTATGAAACTCCTCAACAGTGCACATCTATAATCCCACTCGCAGGATTCGAACTTACAACTTTCAGTCTTATGCGCTAGACCGATGTTATCATCGACTTTTATTTCAGAATTTCTTTAATTATGATGTTGATTATGATATTTTATAGAAAACAAATTATATAAAAGTTTATGTCACATGCTTTAATTTTTAATTAAAACAAAATAATTTAGCTCTTTAATTTTGAATTCAATTCATAAGCTAATTTAAATGAACATTAAATGTCTATTATTGTTGACAATAAAAGTTAAAGTACGTTTACCAATACTAATTTACGTAAGATATATATAGATAGATATAGATATAGATAGATAGATAGATTCTTTGTTTTGAAAAACATCGAACTGTTTTACGTCATCCATATGTATCTCTAATGAATTTCAGTCATAGTAGGAAATAATAATTAATTTACTAAAATTCATTTTATCAATAAACAAATTGTAATACAAAATAAATAAGAGATAAATTTGGTGAATTTGACATTAGTTTAATCATTTGAGAAGAGTTTGCCTTTTATTTATTAATTACTATCAGTATGAATGTCCGACACAGTGAATACTCTTTCTTTTAATTGTAGAAAAAAATAATCATTTCCTTTACTATTATAATTTTTGTTCTATATGACCACATAAGGTTATCGTATAGAACATCTAAGGTTCATAGTTTTATTTACTTAATAAATTAATGTAATTTTGTTGATTAATCACTTGGTAATTTAGTTAAATATGCTCCATAATGATCTATTAGTTGTATACATATATGAAACATTTGAAATTATTACTAATTATCAAATAATGATTAATGATAAATATCAAACTATTTATTGTATGGAAGGTAAGTTAGTCTCAAGATTTATACTATCTAGTAAATCAATAGATATCTCTACAGAATTTTTTTGTAAGCAATGATAGTGGCTAGCAGTGGAATCCAGGACGCGTGTTTCGTCCTACTTGTGACTTGTCAGCTGGATGTACTTGCATCTGAGTTGACGTTCACTCTGAGACTCGAACCCAGTACCGTTTGCTTCAAACCCCACCGCGTTATCCACTGAGCTACTGAGTCCTGATAGCTACTTGCTTATACAATGTTGTGAAGTTTAATTCACTTGGTATTTTGTTTGGCTTCTATCTTCCCATTGAGTTTTTTAAGACTGCAGTTGATCAGTCTGTTATTGGCATACGCACAGTATGCACATATGCTAATAACAGACTGATCAATTGCAATCTTAAACCTCATTGGGAAAATACAAGCCAAACAAAATACCAAGTGAATCTCTATAGAAGACAGTAATATTCTAATTCATAGCAATAATTCATTATTCAATTTTTTCCCTTTAAAATGAACATTACACACATGAATATTTCATGATGTAATTTTTTCTTCTAAGACAATGTAATGCTTTGATCCGCGTACAGTCTATAAATGCATAGATAAGGATATGTTTAAAACTAATTAAATAGTCAGTAACAAACATAAAGATGGTGAAGTTTTAAACTATTTATTATTCATTAATAAAACTATATTACTAGAATCATAAATTACATGAATTATAAATAAATATTATTGTTAAGTTTCATAAAGTTGATAGAGAATTATTCAATGCATCCTCTTAATTCAATTTTGTACTTAGAGTTTATCTGTTTAAAAAGGTTGAAATAAAAAATAGAGTGGCGAGACTCTAATTTATGGACGACCTTTGAACAAATCTTAAGTGACCTTGAGAATACTAGCCAATCAGCGGACAGTAAGTACAGAGTAAAAATATATTATACAAAACCAAGGAAATATAGTGGATACACTTCTTATACGTGGTTCATAAACTTGTAAAAGTTAGAAAGAGGTTCAGAGGTCGTAAAGCCGGAATGCATGCAGTAGAGGAAATCATTCGTACGGCTACAGAATAGTCGGCCTCTGAAGACGTGATAAAGTCTCAAAAACTCTTTCAGCCTCGACCACATAGCTTCAATATTGCTTGTGTGCAATAAGGATGTTAAGTACACAAAATACCACTTGTGGATAACGACACGATGCACATAACCAAGCCTATGTAGGAATCTGTACGCTCTCCAAACACCCGTATATATTGTAGTACC